GCCTTCTCATATTACAATTGGAGAAGACAGATTCCATTAGCAGTATCTGAAATTGAGTGGAGAGCTGCACTGTTATCAGACTTGACTCATAAGCACTGCTATTAATCAGAGCTATGATAGCATTTATATATTTCAAGCTATCTGCTGCCGCTGTGATATTCTGCTACAAAGGGTTGATGGGACTTAGGAAAGTGAACAATAGAGCTTTCTGGGAAAAGCAGAGTAAATCAAGAAAGTCTATGACTTCCGCACATTCTGAAGGGATTGTGGTTTACATAAATTTTCTCCCAATTGGAGATTGAGCTCTTCCTCATCTTACACATGGGATTTAGTTGTCACTCAATGGTAACAGCTGTGAAAAGGTGAAGCGGCCCACCGCTCAGAATATTGCCTTTGCTTTTAAAGCAATTAACCCATGAACAGGAGGATACCTGGTGATATCAAAGGGATTAGGCCAGGCAGTGCATTATTAACATTTCCTTGAACTAATTCTAACTCTGACTAGCTGTCAGAAAAGACTCTACAGTCTTAAAAAAGAGTTTTTGCCCTGCTTTTTTCCCTTCAAAATGAAGTGCTGCTATTTGAGCCTAATATGGCCCTCTACTTATAAGAAAATGCAAATGAACCAAGCTCTTAATATGCTTAGCCAGTCTGAGTCAATGCAATTTTAATACAAGTATGAGAGAAATATATGATCAATTAACCAGGGATCAAGACAGATATTCTCCTGAATGGAAATTAATGCTCCAGTACTTTCCATTCTTCTTCAACTACAAAAACTTGGTGAATATTTGTTACTTATGCATAGTTACCTCTGAAATTAGGAAGAGCTTCACATTATTCTCTATGGCAATAATCTAAAATACTCTTTGAGCTGGAAAATCCAAATGTCTCTTAAGCAGGAGATTCTACATCCTCTAAGGTATGGCATTTTAATTTTCAATTCTTTATTGAATGGAATCTTAGCTGAAACCCTAAGAATAGCAGACACAGCGCTCAGGATCAAGTGTTCCTATTCCAAAAGTTTAATCAAATTAATTTTTAGTAGTGGCAGAATGTTTAGAAATACATAACTTATAAAAAATAAAATACTGCATAAACAAAATACTGGCACAAAACAATCTACCAGGAGATATTTAGATATCACTGAAATTGGCTGTAAGTTCTCTGTAGTAAGCAGGCAGAGTTTCAAGATACCTTTAATTATAATTAATATTTACATATTCTAGGGAACCTGCTTGATATTAAAGAGATCTGATTTCTTACTGTACAATCTTAATGGAGTTACAAAGTTTTTTAATGCAAGCTTCCTGAAACAATGCCTTTTAGAAAAAAAGATTAAAAAAAATTTTATTTAAGAGTAACTTTACCTTTCTCTAAAATAAGCACTGAATTTTGATTACAAAAACTAAAAAAAAATTTACTTTCAATTCATATGAATGCACAACAAATGTTGCTGAATGAGTTCTGCTCATGAGTTCCATTTGGCCCATACTAGCTTGAAAAGGATATGCTGACTCTCAAGCCTGTTGAGAACATATTCCCTGCCCTGGAACTTATCAAAAAAATAGGATACTAGAGATGCTTTCATCTGAGATCATAAGCAATTTAAATCTTCCCTCCAGTAAAGGACTGTTATATGATACTGTCAACAGGGTCCATTCTCTGCTAGTGATACCAGAACATAGACAACGGAAGCATGTTGATATTAATGACAGTGAGTTCAATACTCCTTCCTTACTAAGTGCATGTTGACGGGATCTAGTCTGAGGTTTTTATTTTTTTTTTTAATTTTTTATTTATTTTTTTTTTAGTCTGAGGTTTTTAGAAAATAAGTTTGCAATTCATGTACTAAGCAAAGCTAAACAATGTTCTTATTAGTGATTTATAGGACCTATAATTTTTACATTTTTGTATTAATAGGATTTGCAAATTTCAAATATGACACTTTTAAATACCCTTCTGTCAAACTAAAAAATCATTTACTTCATTGGTCTTCAGGGAAAAAAAAAATTCCAGTTCCTCTAAATCACTTAACTGTAGTACAGAGTTTTAAATGCATAGATGTACACATTAATAAAATGAATACTATTTCCTATAAATGAAATGTATTAGATTAAACTCCTTTAACATAATCATGCTTTAAAATACCCCCAAAGGGGACAATATGTAAATAAATACATGCAGAAATAACTGCCCCAATCTTACTATTTTTAATTCAATAAAGTACAGTGACACATACAGCTTTCAATGTACTGTTTTACTCATATCCTTTCTACCTCAGCAAATATAAAAGAATTCTTGCCAACCATTAAGAAAGATTGACAAAAAATGCAGTGTTAATGATATCTTATAGGCTTTTAAAAGCAAAAGAAAGATGAAAGAAAAGCAAAAATTACACAGTAATTGGAAACAACGAAGTAACTGGTCTTTCAATCCAAGTCATGTTTACTGAAAAAAATGGAGCTTTTTACATCAACATATTTAAACAGAAATTTGCTTTTGAAATACAATCTTTGTTTAAAAGGTACAGAAGGTCTTTATGTCCACCCCAAGAGCTAAATATAGTGAATGCTCTGTGAACAATTACCTGAAAAAAACCTAAACCTGTTAAAAGAATTAATTTCCTGCACACCAGTCAGCACTAATCCTACATGTACAGTAATGTTCTCTTAAGTGATGGGGGAAAGAAAGAATACAACCATCTCCGGGATCAAAAGCCTTCAATATTCAACAAGAAAATGGAATGATGACTTGGTCGGTAGATAAATAAAGTAGTGAAATGTCTTCTGAATGAGTTCTACTGAAGGAGTCAACCTGTGAAGGAATACATTTAAGGTATGCTAGGACTGGAAAAAAGCAGTCACTGTAATGGCTGCACAAAAACCGCGTCCTGCTGTTGGGTTTATATTCACAGAAGGAAGGTTTTAAAGGTTAAGTTCAGGTCATTTGACAAATGAAATTGTAACAAGCCAGCTGACATTGTATAATGTCTTCTTCCACTCGATCAATAGGCTACTGTTAGTCCTATTACCATAGAGATGGCTTGCTCTTTCCCAAAGGGTGGCCATTGTTTGACAAAACAGATTTGCCACTTGAACTAGGTTGTTCCCAAAGGACGTGTACCTTGTCAATTATTTGTATTCAAAATAATGAAGTATTTTCATATTAAAATTACATGAGAGATAATATTGTTAGGACACATTTCAGAAGAAAATAACTTTTCCAAAGTACGAGATTACTAAAACTAAGCAAATATCCAGTCTATAAAGAGTTTTTGTTTTAAAACATGTCAGTATGAATTTATCATTAAGACTATATATTAAAATAAAATGGTCACAGGTCTGTGTGCTGATCTAAAACCCATTATAATCAAGCATAATAATTAAAGCTATTTTAAAATGCAGACAACTCAAAGGAAAATTACTGTCCCAAACTATTCAGATTCTGGAAATACAAAGAATTTATATATGATTTTTGCAGTGGTTTTTATGTGGAAGGGCATCAACAATTAATATAGTAAAAAACCATGGAAAAGTTTTAGTAAACAAATAGCTTTACTTGCTTTAAGAGGTAGCTATAGCATTTAAATGTGTGTATATGTTGTAGAAATAATCTAAAATACAAATGAACTAACAAAACAAATATTAGTTTTTTTTTTTTAAATGGCTTTGTCTTAAATGTCTTAGGAAAATTAGTAACTCATACATTTAATACAGAACTAGTATGTTCTAAATTTCATCCTAGATATTTAAAATAGTTTTTCTCTCAATGAAAATAATGACACAGTCTTAATTATAAAAGACCAGAAGGAACAATTCTAATAATTACTCTAGTCATTTAGAAAAAGAAAGTATTCATAATACTAATTAATCCAAGCAAAAATGTTATTTTAAACATTTCAGACTTAAAGATATGGCTATCACTGAAAACCTGTAAGACTGAACTAAAAACAAATTAAATAATACAGATAAACATTTAGTCAATGATCAACAATTACAATTTTGAATCTGAAACGTTCCACAAATAGATTTAATAGTAAGTTTTAGCCATAGTTAGTAACTTTAACCTTCTTACAAACAAGCAAAGGGGAATTTAGAAAGAATTTAGTCAAAGGGCAGTAATAAGACAAATGTATATAAAACAGTCTCCAAAAATGACATTTGAAATGTTCTATTCAAATTATGCTATATTTACATACAAAATTATTTGTTTTTATAATAAAATCTGCAATACTTTTTGAAAGAAATGTTTTAACTTGGTTTTCCCTTTGCAGAAAGTATAATTTGTAGTTTTGACTATAACCCTTTCAGGCATAGGTTAGACTAAGCACTGAAAGCGAGAGAAACAGCAAAGACAAATGGAGATTACCAATATCTTAAACTAATGACCTGTTTTTTTAAAAGCAGGGTAGCCTTCCAAACGAGGAAAGCCTTTCATTATGAAGTAAGTGGCGTCTCATTTGTCTGTCTTCCCTACAGCTATCCTGCAACAAAGTGAAACCTTACTAAAACCACATTCCCAAATTGATTCCCTTTGTTAATAGCCTCATTTCAAAATGTATGCATGTGCATATTTAAAATACAATATAATTAGGTATTAACTCTGGACCTGATAGGCAGCTGCCGATCAGCAATACTGTGAGTAATTAAATAATATTTACCATTTACCAAAAGAAGAACTTCATACTGTTAAATTAAACTGGCCCATCTGCATCTTCCTAAAATGACAAACCTTATTAGTTCTGCCTAAACAGAGAATTGTGATAATGAACTGGTGACACCTTCTCTCCACTGTATGAAGCAGAACCAACTGTGTAATCATTTGAGGGTCAAACACAAATGAAATTACTGTAAATTGAGAAAGTGAAATCACATGAGTGATTAGGAAAACCATTCAAGCAACAAAAGGTCTTTTTTTTGGTCATGTATGTACATGGGCCATAAGAAAGCTCCATCTCCAATTAGTCAAAATTAATTTTAACTAATCAACTACTTTACCTGAAAACGGTGAAAAAAAGTAAAGCTGCAGCTACTGCTCCAAATAGGCCACAGAGTAGATTGACTCGGTAGGCAACTGAACCAAAAGGAAATAGTAGAATTGCCAGTTTAGCCACCAGCGTAAACAAAGGATAGCCAGGAGGATGGGCAACCTATGGGAAAATTAGCAAGAGTCAGAAGGTTTTCATCTAGTTTTAAAGGAAGAGTCACACTGGTTTTAATTGAAAAGTAGCCCTTTTCCCAGGCAAGTATAAAGATTAAGAGACAATGACTAAATGTTTGAATAGTGGTTTTCTATTGTAATCCTCTTGTGCCAATACAAATAAATATTTTCTTTAGTGGATTTGGCAGTGTCTATCACATGGTGTGTCACCCAGAGAAAGGGTGACATATTTCATTGTCAGTCCTTAAGCAGTTTGTTCTCTGGGTTCACAGTACATTAGGGTCATTTAAAAGGCTATTGAAAAAAAGCGGGTTCTGAAATATCGTATTGGTTAGAAAGTTGAAAGACCACACTGCTATCGGATTACCACCATGCTGACAGTCCTGAGGTCTTGCCTAAAGGGATCATACACCATAATAAAGTTTATTAAATAATAAACTTATTAAAACTGTTAACCCGATTTATTTTATTCTCCATAGCTTATACAAAATTTGGGGTGATAATAAGCCAGCTACTGTATATATAGTAAAGGCTTTGCTTTATAATTTAGTTTAATTGGATTTAAAACTTAAAGTAAATTGTCACGTACTGTACTTATAAGTTACTAAAAACTGGGGTTTGAAAATAAATTAATCTACTTTACTCTATGCTTAATTAAACTTTCTTAATTCCTAAAACTGTTAATGAGAGCATTGATTAAACAATAAAACTAATACTTACTCCAAGCTCATGTGCGGCTGTGATCAGTTCCCCTGTGAAAAAATAATGTAAAAGCAATAATTACTATTAGAAAATGACACTCCTCCAAAGTTTTCAAAATCCAAATGCTTGCATTGGGGTTTTGCATTAATTTGACTGGATAAAACTGTAAATCTGTAGAGATTTAACAGCATGAAATAGTCTCAGAGTATTTTCTCCCTTAGGTCTCACTGAACAAACTATCTTTGACAGTTTTTAATAACTGGTCAGTGGAAATATAGGTGAATTCTAGTTTCTAAAAATGCTTATTTTAAACAAACTCCTACTATATAGCACAGGGAATAATATTCAATATCTTGCAATAACCTATAATAAAGAATATGTAATATGTATAACTGAATTACTTTTCTGTACACCAGAAACTAACACAAGATTGTAAATCAAGTATACTTCAATTTTTCAAAAAAGCTTATTTTCCGTTCTGAAGGTTGTTTACACTTGCAAATATATAAAAACTCTTACAGAGCATTAGTGTAGAACGCTATGTTATCCCTCAAGAATTTAGTGCAAAACTGCCTGTAAAAATGTAACCTTATATGTAAAATGTGCAGAAGCTGGATTTGAAGAGTCTATAAAATGTGCCTTTCCACCCTAAGCTGGCATTTAGATATCTTCTCTACATTAATTACATTGGATATTTTTAAACAATTGCCAAATGCTTATTAACTGCAGGTTATTTTGGCAAGCTTTGATTACCACAGCACATTTTTTTTCAAACCACTGAATCACCATGTCATTTACATAGTTCTTTGTAATTCCTCACCATTAGCAATTACTTCTAAAATTATGATGTAGTAATTCAGTGCCTATTTGATAGTACTTTTAGTATCCAGGGACTATTTCTGATTCATTCCTATGCACATAATACTGTACAGTTTAAGCAATCAGTATCAACTGATTTATGAAAGTTAAAAATTATCTATCAGAAAATGTATTAATGTCTATTTTCTATCCTTCAGTGGCTATCAATGTCCTTCATTTCTAGAGCCCAAATCATATTTTAGAACTTTACTCTTGTCCTGGGCTATGGCAATAGCTTTTGAACAATGTTCTATTTCAGTTCATCTTCCCACTGAAATCACTAATTACTGCCACCCCCACCCCCAAAAGGTCAGATTGTTTCCTTAGTCTAAAATTTCTCAATGGCTGCTCTCTGCCCACTGAATGAAGTTGATTCCTCATCATGACACCTAAGCCCTCTACAGCTTCTGGTTCCTTTTCCAAGGCTTATGTCCATGAAACTTAGGCTCACCTCTGTCAGATCAGACTCCCCACTGTTACTCTGAAATGGTCCTCTTTTGCACCTTTTATCGCTCACTTTCTCACCCAGCATTCTCTGCTAAATCCTTCCAGGCCTGGTTCAATTGTTACCTTCTCAGTGACACCTTTCTACACATACCTCTCCCCAGCTTCACCCATCAGAATTCATCACTTCTGCCTCCTTCATAGAACCTGCTTGAACCTATTTAGCACTTCTTTAGATTGCTTTCTATTCTGGTGAGTTGTTTTGTCTTTTCCACTAAGTTATCCATTTCAGGGTTCTGTCAAGAAGACATCGGCACCTCTCCCTCCTTGTGCCACCCAGAAGAGTCCCACACACAGATGACAAAAAGACCTATCATGTTGTCATCCTTGTTACTCAGACATCCCCATCAGGTGGGATAATTGCTCACTTCTGAGAAGCCCCACAAAGGCATGAAAGACAGATACTGCTCACTTAAGTCACTTACTTAAGGACATCATTGAAGTCTTCCAGAGAAATTCAAGAACATCTTAGAAGACAAAAGCCCTTTTTGTATCTTACACAAATCATTCATGGTTTTAAAATGCTTAAGATAACTTTCCCTTTGTATATATTGTTACCAAAGCTGTATTTATCATTTTCTACTCTAGAATGGGTTTGCTCTTATGTCTTCAGTCCCAAAAGGTTTTAATTAATTTCTGATCCTTACATTTCTGTGCGATGAAGCACAGTTCAGTTCAGATTTTCAAGGTTGCTATTCATTCTCCTCATATAAAAATGTATTTAGAATTACATTTAACATTAAGAAAAATGCACTATTTTCTCTAACTTCTTTTTACCATTGAAAAGTCAATATACTGTTATTCTTTGTGGGAGTTGTTGGTAGAAAGATGAATCTTGAATGTTACAAACCTCCATCACCAACTCTTCGTATGTGAATTAAAATCTAAGTAGAAAAGATGCTAGTATTCAAAGTCTATTATGTACCCTTGATAAAAAGCTAAAGAGAAACACTACTCTTAAAACTGAACATGATAAAAACAAAAATAGTTTAAAAAAAAAAGTCTTCTGGCACCTTGCTTTCCCTCAATCAACCCTTTACACAAGGGTTTGGTGGCTCAGTGGTAAAGCATCCACCTGCAATGCAGGAGACGTGGGTTTGATCCCTGGACCAAGAAGATCCCCTGGAGAAGAAAATGGCAACCCACTCCAGTTTTCTTGCCGGGGAAATCCCATGGACAGAGGAGCCTGGCAGGCTATAGTCCGTGGGGTCCAAAAGAGTTGGACAGTACTTAGCAACTAAACAACAAACAATTTGTCAAATGTAAGTCCTACATCATATATAACCTGCATCAGAATTACCTGGATGCCTTTTAGAAATGAAGATTCCTTGACCATAACCCAAATCTACTTACATGACACCCTCTGGAATCAGGGCCCATGTTTTCCAGGCAATTCTCAAGTATCAATATATTCAAGCTTGAGAACCACAGCTTTCTCTGGGACACAAATGGGTGTCAAACTCAGAGTAGTTAGTAGATGCTTCACCTTTCCATAACCCAGATCCCTCTATATGTTAAAAACATATAAATATACATATAAACTAATTTATTTTTCCAAAGAATAACAAACACAAGTGAAGGCTAGATTCCCAACCTTTCCTCTAAATGACCAAGAATGCTTTTGCCCAGAAATCAACAATGTATATCAAGTAGTACAAAAAGTAGTTTTGGCTAGGTCACACAATATGATGGATTCATGAAGTATAATTGAAGATTTATCAGGAAGAAGAGTATATGCTTTATGTTGGTCTTGAGATGCATTCTGTTTATTGTTTAAAAAAAATTCATAAACATGAAATTCAAAGAGAACAGTACGTTAAACATATAAGCAGAATTATCAAAGATGTGATTATACAAATTTTACTGGCAACACTGGAAAAGTTTATTTACCATTCTCAAAAAATGAACAAAAATATTAGAAGCAACTACTATCTAGCGTCAAATTAAACAAATCAGAATACCTAAAAAGTTTGATAACTCTTAAGTTATCAAACAGATAACTTTATTCTTTGGGGAAAAAAAATAAAAGACATTATTAACGAAAACAAAGCAACAATTGTAACGGTGTGAAGGTGCCAGATATAGGAGCCCTGCTCAGGTACTGGTCAGCACCACAGTGGACTCTCCCCATCTTCTGTATAAAAGGAACCCAAATTCAGGTTAAGTTTTTTTGTGTATGTGTATATAAACTTTTTATTTTGTATTGGGGTGGTGGTGGTGTAGCCCTCATAATCAACAGAAGAGTCCGAAACTGTACTTGTACAGTACTTGGGTGTAACCTTAAAAATGACAGAATGATTTCAGTTCATTTCCAAGGCAAGCCATTCAACATCACAGTAATCCAAGTCTATGCCTCTACCACCGATGCCAAAGAAGCTTATCAGTTCTATGAAGACCTAGAAGATCTCCTAAAACTAACACTGAAAAAAGATGTTCTATTCATCATTGGAGATTGGAATGCAAAAGTAGAAAAGTCAAGATATACCTGGAGTAAGTCAAGTTTGGCCTTGGAAAACAAAATGAAGCAGGGCAAAGGCTAACTGAATTCTGCTGAGAGAATATTCTAGTCATAGCATATACCCTTTTTCAACAAATCAAGAGAGTACTTTACACATGGACATCACCAAATGGTCAATACTGAAATCAAATTGATTACATTTTTTGTAGTCAAAGATGGAGAAGCTGTATACAGTCAGCAAAAATAAGATCTGGAGCTGACTGTGGCTCAGATCATCAGCTTCTCATAGAAGATTCTCTGGTGGCTCAGATGGTAAAGAATCCGCCTGCAATGTGGGAGACCTGGGTTCCATCCCTGGATTGGAAAGATCCCCTGGAGGAGGGCATGGCAACCCACTCTAGTATCCTTGCCTGGAGAATCCCCAAGGACAGAGTCCACAGGGTCGCCAAGAGTCGTACATGACTGAGCGACTAAGCACAGCACAAAGAAAACCGGGAAAAACACTCGGCCAGACAGGTATGACTTAAATCAAATCCCGCATGAATTCGCAGTAGAGGTAATGAATAGATTCAAGGGACTAGATCTAGTTAAAAGAGTGCCTGAAGAACTAAGGACAGAAGTCCACATATTGTATAGGAGGTGGCGAACAAAACCATTCCAAAGAAAAAGAAAAGCAAGAAGGCAAAGTGGTATCTGAGGAGACTTTACAAATAGTGGAAGAACGAATTAAAGTGGAAAGCAAAGCAGAGAGGGAAAAGCACATCCAATTAAATGCAGAGTTCCAAAGAATAGCTAAGAGAGACAAGAAGACGTTCTTCAATGAACAGTGCTTAATAACAGAAGAAAACAACAGAAGGGGAAAGACTAGAGATCTCTTTAGGAAAAGTGGAAACATCAAGGGAACATTCCATCCAAAGATGGGCACAATAAAGGATAAAAATGGTAGAGACCTAATAGACCCTGAAGAGACCAAGAAGAGATGGAAAGAATACATGGAAGAACTGTATAAAAAAGATCTTAATGAACCGGATTATTACAATGGTGTGGTTAGTGATCCAGAGCCAGACATTCTGGAGCGCAAAGTCAAGAGGGCCTTAAGAAGCACTGCTGCTAATAAAGCAAGTGGATGTGATGAAATTCCAGCAGAACTATTCAAATCCCTAAAGGATGATGCCATCAGGTTTTGCATTCATTATGTCAGCAATTTGTCACCCTGTTTATTTAACTTATATGCAGAGTACATCACTGCAAAATGCTGGGTTAGATGAAGCACAAGCTGGAATCAAGGTTGCCAGGAGAAATATCAATAACCTCAGATATGCAGACGACACCACCCTTATGGCAGAAAGTGAAGAAGAACTTAAGAGCCTCTTGATGAAAGTGAAAGAGAAGAGTAAAAAAGCTGGCTTAAAACTCAACATTCAAATAAATGAAGATCATGGCATCCAGTCCCATCATTTCATGGCAAATAGATGGGGAAACAATGGAAACAGTGAGGCTTTATTTTCTTGGGCTCCAAAATCACTGCAGATGTTGACACTTGCTCCTTGGAAGAAAAGTTATGACAAGCCTAGATAGAATATTAAAAAGCAGAGCCATTACTTTGCTGACAAAGGTCCATCTAGTCAAAGCTATGGTTTTTCCAGTAGTCACATATGGATGTGAGGGTTGGACCATAAAGAAGGCTGAGCACTGAAGAATTGATGCTTTTGAACTGTGGTGTTGGAGAAGACTCTTGACAGTCCCTTAGACTGGAAGATCAAACCAGTCAATCCTAAAGTCAGTCCTAAAGTCCTCAATATTCATTGAAGGACTGAAGATGAAGCTGAAGCTCCAATACTTTGGCCACCTGATGCGAAGAGCTGACTCATTAGAAAAGACTCTGATGCTGGGAAAGAATGAAGGCAGGAGGAGAAGGGGATGACAGAGGATGAGATGGTTGGATGGCATCACCGACTTAATGGACATAGTTTGAGCAAGTCCCAGAAGATGGGGAAGGATAGGAAAACCTGGCGTGTAGCAGTCCATGGTGTCCCAAAGAGTCGGACATGACTGAGCAACTAAACAATGTCAGCAAATCTGGAAGACCCAGCAGTAGCCATAGTACTAGAAAAGGTCAATTCTCATCCCAATTCCCAAGAAGGGTAGTACAAAAAATGTGCTAACCATCGGACAATTGTGCTGATCTCCCATACTAATAAGGCCATGCTTAAAATCCTGCATGCTAGGCTTTAGCATTATGTGAACCAAGAACTTCCAGATGTCCAAAGTGGGTTTAGAAAAGGAAGAAGAACTGAAGATCAAATTGCTAACCTTAATTGGATTATAGAGAAAGTAATGGAATTTCAGAAAAACATCTATTTGTTTCATCAACTACACCAAAGCCTTTGACTGTATGGATCATGACAAACTGTGGAAAGCTCTTAGATGGGAATACCAGACCATCTCACCTGTCTCCTGAGAAACCTGAATGCAGGTCAAAAAGCAAGAGTTAGAATCCTGTATGGAACAACTGATTGGTTCAAGATCAAGAAAGGAGTGAGAGGGCTGTCTGCTGTCACCCTGTTTGTTTAACCTACATGCTGAGCACATCATGAGAAAGGCCAGGCTGGATGAGTTATAAGCTGCAATCAAGACAGGTGGGAGAAACATCAACCACCTCAGATATGGAGATGATACCACTCTAATGGCAGGAAGTTTAGAGGAACTAAAGAGCTTCTTGATGGGGGTGAAGGAGAGTGAAAGAGCCAGCTTAAGAGTAAATATTAAAAAACCTAAGATCATGGCACCTGGTCCCATTACTGCAAGGCAAATAGAAGGGGAAATGGTGGAAATAGTGACAGATTTTCTCTTCTTGGGCTCCAAAATCACTGCAGATGATGACTGCAGCCATGAAATCAGAAGACAATTGCTTCTGGACAGTTAAACGATGACAAACCTAGATGGTGTGTTGAAAAGCAGAGACATTACTCTGCTGACAAAGGTCCGTGTAGTCAAGGCTATGGTCTTTCCAGTGGTCATGTACAGTTGTTGAGAGCTGGAATGTAAAGAGGGCAGAACGCCAAAGAATTGATGCCTTCAAACTGCGGTGCTGGAGAGGACTCCTGAAAGTCCCTTGGATGCATTGATCTCCTTGCATCCAATCTTGAGGAAGATCAACTCTGAATATTCACTGGAAGGACTGATGCTGAAGCTCCAGTATTTTGGTCATCTGATGTGAACAGTTGACTCATTGGAAAAGTCCCTGATGCTGGGAAAGATTGAGGGCAGAAGAGGGAGTCAGAGGATGAGATGGCTGGACAGCATCACTAATGCAATGAACATGAACTTGGGCACACTCAGGGAGATGGTGAGGGAAAGGGAGGCCTGGCATGCTGCAGTCCATAAGCATAAAGTCAGACACGACTAGGTGACTGAACAACAACAACCTTTTTATTTTGTATTGGGGTGGTGGTGGTTTAGTTGGTAAGATGTGTCCTACTCTTTTGTGACGCCACGGGCTGTAGCCTGCCAGGCTCCTCTGTCCATAGGATTTCCCAGGCAGTACTGAAGTGGGCTGCCATTTGCTTCTCCAGGGGATCTTCCCAATTCAGGGGTGAAGCCCTTATCTCCTGCATTTGCAGGTGGATTCTTTACAGCTGAGCTGCCAGGGAAACCTGGTATAGTGGGTATAGCGGATTAACGTTGTGATAGTTTCAGGTGGACAGCAAAGGGACTCAGCCGTATGTATACATGTATTCATTCTCCCTCAAACTTCCCTCCCATTCAGGCTGCCACATAACACTGAGCAGAGTTCCACATGCTATACAGTAGGTTTTTGTTGGTTATCCATTTTAAACACAGCAGTGTGTACTTGTCCATCCCAGACTCCTTATCTATCCATTCCCCCTGGCAAACCAGTAAGTTCTTTCTCTAAGCTTGTGAGTCTGTTTGTTTTCTAAGTAAGTTCATTTGTATCATTTCTTTTTAGAGTCCATATAAGGGGTGTCATGCAATATTTCTTCTTCTGTCTGACTTACTTCACTCAGTATGAGAATCTCTAGGTCCACCCATGTTGTTGCAAATGGCATTACTTCATTCTTTAATGACTGAGTAATATTCCATTGTATATGTACCAAGGTTTTTTTTTTTTTTTTTTTGAGATGCTAGTCTGCCATCTTTTCAGTCTACTAGCTTTACAATTAAAGTGGTCCTTGTTCCAACAACTGTTTTCCTGATTTACTGGCCTGCTGTGCAGAGAGCAACATGAAATTGAGCTTGGTAACACATAAATTTAAAATAAATAATTATTTAAATTTATTTAAACAATTATTTGAATTTAAATAAATTTAAATAAATTTTCATGAATTTTAAATAGACTTCATCACTAAATACATGATGATAGATTTAAAACAATTTAGAGCATAGGCGAGTTAAGACAGCATGCTCTAAGTTCAATCTACTTGGGTATTTTTTCTCTTTATTGCCTCTATCTTCTACTTGTGTGATTCTGGACACAGCTTAACCTTAGTTTTGCCATCTATAAAATAAATGAGTACCTACCTCACAGGGTAGCAGCTGGGAGAATTAAAACGGCAATCTATGTAAAGCACTTTGAACAGTGCCTGGCACACAGTAGGTGCTCAACAAGTGTTATTATTCATTCTAATCTCATCCTTCAGGCTCAGACAACCATAGTCAAGAACTAGCAATGCTTTTTTCCAAAAGTACAGAACTATTCAACCTGTAAGTAATACTCTCCAAAATCAAAGCTCTCACAACTACAAAGTTAGTTCTATTATTTGGTATAAAACTTGGAAATATGGTACCTCCATTCCCCACTATACTAATGAAACACTGCTCCTATTCAATAGGATCTGAAAGAAAAAATAAAGGTAATGATGTGTAAAAGGATTATCAGGGATCTTCAATGTGGTAGGCAGCCTTGAGGACGGCCTCTAAAACTCCAAAATTCCAGTATTCTCACTGGATAACCTTCTGCCGTTGAGTGTGGGCTGGACATACTGACTCATTTCCAAGAATAAAACAGGGCAGTGGTCTGCTACTGCCAAGATTGGGTTACAAAATGACAGAGCTGTAGGCAGAAGTGCCATCTCTCTCTCTGTGAAACCCCCACATCAAAGAGCTGGATGAAGTTTAGAATTTAATCCTTGTTAGGTTGAACCTTTGAGTTGACTGTATCCCAGCCCAAACCAGGACAACAAACTTGTACTGCATAAGAGCACCCACTTAAACTGTACCCAGATTCCTGATCAACAGAACATGTGAGAGAATAACCGTTTGTTGTTTTAAGCCACTCAATTTGGGGGTATTCTGCTATGCAGAAACTAAGGTGCTACAGTTTTTTTTAGTCTATAGATTCACTACTCAAAGTTTCAGCACCATTCTGACAAAATTACTGATCATTATTAGGCAGTATTAGAGGATCAGTTTGACAAGAAACCAAAACCTGCATCTGCCTCTCATCCCAAATACGCAACGATTATTCATGTGATTTAAACAGCCCCCGACTCACGCTTTTCAACAGAAGCAGCTTTAAGCCGCAACTGGTTTCCACTATTTTAAGTATTCTCCCGCAAATAGTCTGCAAGTCTGGTTGCTTTTCAATGTTCAGATTTCAGCTAAAATATCACCTTATTAAAGGCCTTTCCGGACTAGCCATCCGGATAGAGCCACTGCCTACCTCACTATCAATCACATTTTCCTCTTACTGTCTCCAATAACTTCTCCTCCCAATACGTTGTGTTTATTCAGTAGTTTGTGTATTGCCTCTGCCCGCACTACAACACTCTCCATGAAACTTGTTCGCGGCTCCTCTCAGCCCTTTGTCTGGTACACGACAAAGACTCTGTAAGTAACACTAATATCTGTGGACGAAAAAGGAATGGAAAGCAAAAACTCAGGGCAAGGAAAATGATCTAGAGAAGCGGAGCGGTCAGTTAAGTCCCATCAGGCGAAACCAACTAGCTCTGCCTCGAAAGCCTGAAAACTACAAGAGACCAGAACTACAGGAAAATTACAGAAATGAAAACACAGAAATTGGTTTTGACACCCAAAACACTACGGGGGGCTCCGGCGGGGAGAATGGAGTGAGCGAACTGACCAAACCTCGTGGGAACGGTGAGGATCAGGGAGGGGACAGGAGGGACGACCTTGAGAGTACATTACCCGAGTCGCCCCCCGGCACCGAGGGGGGCAGCGTGAGGGTGAACACGGCGGCCACAGCGGCGAACACGGCGACGCCGCCGCGGAGGCCCCCAGCGCGCCGCGCCCCCGCTCGGGCTGCCCGCCCCCCCAGCCGGGCCCCCGCCGTCTCCATGGAGACCCATGGGCCAGAGGGGACCAAGGAAGGAGGACGCGGCGGGCCCCAAAAGTCGGGGCGCCCGGAGCCCACAGGGCGAGAGGCGAGCTCGGCACTAGGCGGCCGCGGCTGCTTCCGGGTCGGGCCGGGTGGGACCGGACCGCACCTTTCTGCGCCGGCGCGGGGGTAGAAAACGCGGGGTCTCGCGGGAACCAGGCCCGGGCAGCCATCAGACTGCTCGGGGTTTACAGAATATAGTGTGCTTTCCACTAGCGCATCACAAGGGACAGCCTTCTTTTAACAGAGGAAGCCTGGGCCGCCGTGTCTATGGCCTCCCCCACTTCCTGGCCACTTGGTCGGGTCTGACAGAGACGGGAGCCGGGTCGCCAAGCGGACGGGAGGAAGGGTAGCGACTTCCCCCTGAGGTGTGGGGTGGAACTGCACGAGGGGCCCCAGCCCGCCAGCTCGCAGTGTGCGCCTTAGTAAGTCAACAAACACCTAAATCGCAGGTTTACAGCGAGTAATTATATGCCCGTGTGCTAACTGTTAAATCCTCGTTATTTTCAAAGAGATTAAAGAAAGCTAATTGGTCTTTTTTCCCCCTTATAGCATGAGGAAAACTTGGGAGATGAGTTGAAAAACTTGTTTCTGAGGTAGTACAAATAATTTATATCATGATAAAATTGTCTCCAACATTGATGAGGAGGAGTGTTTCTGTGAAGCTTTGACTACGCAGTGGAAAATGAGATGAAGTCACTGCATTTTCCACTTGGCTGCAATACCAAAAAGAATGGGGACTCTTGGTAAGGTCTTTAAGCTTACTTTATACAGTATTGTAGCAAGTATTCTGGAGTGGGAGGGGAGGTGGGATACCTCCCTGGAATGCATCTCAAAAGACACTGAAGATCAGTGATGGTCTAAAACGTGTTATAAGCAAGCTGACAAGAACACAGCGTCTCAAAGGTAGACTGACTTAACACACCTGTGTAGACTGGCAGCCATGGCGCCAGCATTACCTTGGTCTTTCTCAGGTACTCCATAAGGCTTTCTCTGCAGGATTGAGAGTCCCTGGAGAACCGGTAGGCAGCTTCTAAAATGCTCCCCGTAATCTGACTCCCCGTATTCACTCCCTTGTGTAAATCCTCTGCCCTCGAGTGTGGGCAGAACCTAGTGACTCACTTCTAGCAACAGAATAAGACAAAAGTGATGGAGGTCACTTTGGAGATGAGGTTATAAAAGACTGACTTTTCATCTTTCTTGCACTCCCCACCATGGGCACCACCTTGCTGCCTTCCCACTTATTCACTCTGATGAAGCCGCTTCACCAGGTTGTGAGCTGCCTTATGGAGCCATCCCCATGGCAGGGAACTGAGCGTCACCCCTGGCCAGACAGCCCACGCAGAGCTGAGCCCCTCAGTCCAACAACCTGTGAGGAGTTAAATCCTGCTAATCCCTCCTGAGGGAGCTAGGAAGCCCATCGTGCCCCATGGGAGCCTTGAAGTAATGACTTGCCTCCGCCAAGACCTTGATTGCAGCCTGCGAGAGAACCAGCTAAGTCTCACACAGATTGCTGTCCTGCAAAAACTGTGAGATAATAAATGCTGTTGTCCACTAAATTTGGGGGTACTTTGTTTCTCAGCAATGGGTTACCAGGACAGCCTGCCTTCCATTTCTCCCCCCCCCCCCACTTTCTTTATTTTTCTGCACCGCTTCTTTGTTGCTGCCCAGGCTTTTTTTAGTGGCTAGGAGTGGGGGCTACTGTTTTGTTTTGGGGCTCGGGCTCCTCCTTGCAGTGGCTTCTTTTGTGGAGCACAAGCTCTGGGGCTCCCTGGCTTCTTTAGTTGCAGTTTGAGTGCTCAGTAGTTGCAGTTCACGGGCCCTAGAACCCGGGGTCAGAAGTTGTGGTGCGTGGGGTTTAGCTGCTCCAAGGCATGTGGAATATTCACAGACCCGGTATGTCCCCTGCATTGCAAGGTAGATTCTTTCTACCAGGGAAGTACCGTTTCATTTCTTTTCTGAAAGAACATGTCAGTGAGTAATACTGACTGAGCCAAGCATATGTTTCTTTCCCTTTTTATGCATTTCATCTTTTGGTCATGAGCTTTATGAAAAGATAACTTTTTATCATGGCAAATTTCACAAGAACATAATTATTTGCCCACGTTTGAGAGGTAGAGCTTAGTGTTGGAGTTTGAATTTGGGAATTGTTACATAAGAATGAGATGAATGAATGAGTTCACAGAGGAATAATGTAGGGAGAACAAGGTTGAGGTCAAATATTAGTCCACATCTTCATTTAGGGAGTGGCAGGAGAAGAAAAGAGAACAGTGGAAGAGAGGAATGCACCACAGGGAACTAAGGAAGAAATGACATCAGTGATGTTTACCTGGGCAAGTTGTTACAGAGAGGAGAAGGATGGTGAGAAGGGCCACATCTAAGTTTATGGGGCTAAGTTTATCAAGTTGGAGAATCCTGTAAGCAAAAAGATACAAAACTGCAGATAGAAAATTAATGATGGGCATTGGAAAGAGGTTGTGCTAGTGACAGACTGTGAAGTTTTTTTTTTAATTAAAGTATGGTTTGTTTACAATGTTAGTTTTAGGCATACAGCAAAGTTTTTCAGAGCTATATATATATATATATGTATTCTTTTTCAGATTATTTTCTGTTATACGTTGTTACAAGATATTGAGTAGAGTTCCTTGTGCTATACAGTAGATCCTTGTTGTTTATCTATTTTATATATAGTAGTGTGTATGTGTTAATCTCAAACTCCTAATTTATTCCTCCCTTCCCCTTCCCCTTTGGTAACCATAAGATTCAGGCTGTGAAATATAAGCTTTGTTAGCTTCATGGCTAATCTCCTATGAGGATGGAGAACAACCAGTTCTCTGTGTATCTGTGTCTGACTACCTCTCAGTAAGCAAGCTGACTCCTCTCCACCCTGAAACTGTTTCTCCCTCAGGTATCAGCGATAGCACACTTCTTTGACTTTCCTTCTACCCCTGGCCTCTCTGCCCTGGATTGCTTCTATCAAGCCTCCACATAATGAGAGTGCACCAGGCCTTGGTTATAGACTTTTCTTTCTCTTTCTGCCTTCTTTCCCAAGATAATTTTATTGAGACTTTAAATAGTAACTCTAGGCTGATAAAGAGCTTCCCCAGTGCCTCAGCAAAGAATCCACCTGCAGTGCAGGAGACATGAGTTGATCCCTGGGTGGGGAAGATCCCCTGGAGAAAGAAATGGCAACTCACTCCAGTATTCTTGCCTGGGAAATCCGATGGACAGAGGATCCTGGCAGGCTCCAGTCCATGGGGTCACAAAAGAGTCAGACATGATTTAGCGATTGAATATCAATAATCAGGTCCTACTATAGTTAGATCTGATGACCTGCAGGTACTTGAACCTTGAAAGTTCCACAGGTCAGTTTCAGGAGGTTAATAGATATGGAAACAAAGGAACAGTGAATAAGAAGTGAGAAAAGGGAAAATAGAATATATTTGCAAGAAATTTGGCAGTGAAGGGAAAGAGAGAAGTAATGCAGGAAGACACAGGGATTGAGGTGTCACATGAGTTTTTGGTAATCCAGGGGAGTATTTGGAGAGAAATAGTGAGGAACAAAAGATGTACAGGAGGCTGGAGGGGATGGAACCAAGGAGGGAAGAAGAGAAGAGATGAAAACAGGAAATGTTAAGAATTGTTTACGAAAGAGAGATAGTGAGGTGGACCTTATCCTGGAGCAGACTAATAAAATACAGAAGGAGTATTTTTACCTGTTATGTATGTTCTGCTCCATTCCACATTGCATTAGAGACAGCTACTACTGTAAAACAGAAAAATATGTGTATCAGGATCCAACCAGAGAAGCAGAACTAGAGGGAGATACATATTATGGAATTTATTGCAGGGAGTTGTCTCACGTGATTGTGGGGGCTGGCTTGGCAAGTCTGAAATCCATGGGGAAAGCCAGGCCTTCCTGGCATTGTGGTCTGCATCCACATCTATGGACATTCAAGGACTCCACATTCTATCTGGGCAGAGAGGATGTTCCAGCTCTTCCCCTGGGTTCCATTGATACCTCCCTCGATAGAAGAAAGGGTAGGAGTGCCTCATGACTGCTCCCCTGCAGCTTCCTCAGATACTACAGTGAGGAGGAGGCAGGCCAGGGATCTCCTTTAGGTCCTGTCTGACACCACCGCAGCAGGGAGAAGAGGGGCAGCTCATTACTGCTGGATGGGGTAGAAGGCTGGGCTCCCCATGTTAACATCACTGGTGCCATGAATGGAAGTTCTGGCTTTCTTCTCGGCCTTTTTTGACATCACCCTGGTGGGTGTGTTGGGGCATCTGGAGAGGGTAGAAGTCTCTGTTCCCCACTCAGCCTTTGCTGGAGCAAGTGGAGGTGGGGAGGCCACAGTTTTTTCTTTGGTTTCTAGTTACATAGAGAGTTACTTTCTAAATGTATCTGTATTACCTTTTCCTTGTCCTTTGACCAGAGAGAGAGAGAAGGTTTTTGTGGGGTGGGGGCTTTTTTTGTCTGTGCTATTGGAGTCTCTCACTTTTCTAGCACCCAATCTGAGATACGTGAAGCAAAAAGAAACCCAAGGATCTTACCACCATGTTCTTTAGGTTTCGAGATTCCTGTCTGGTCTACCTTATCCTCTCCACCTTTTGGGCACTATTTCATCCTTTTTAATGGCTGAGTAATATTCCATTGTATTCATATACACCACAGATTTTTTATTCATTCATCTGTCAGTGGTCACTTAGGTTGCTTCCATGTCTTGGCTGTTGTAAATAGTGCTGCTATGAACATTGAGGTGCATATATCTTTTCGAATTAGAGCTTTCAACTTTTCCAGATATATGCCCAGGAGTGGGACTGCTGGATCATCTGGTAGCTCTATTTTTAGTTTTTCAAAGAACTTCTATACTGGTCTCCATAGTGGCTATACCAACTTACATTCCCACCAACAGTGCAGGAGGGTTCCCTCTTTTCCCCACCCTCACCAACAGTTTTACAGTATTTATCTATTCAAGCTTTGCTGAGTCTGTATTGCTGCACAGGCTTTTCTGCAGTTGCAGCGAGCAGGGTCTACTCTGTAGTTGTGGTGGGCGGGCTTCTCATTTCCGTGGTTTCTTTTGCTGCGGAGCAGAGGCTTAGGGTGCACAGGCTTCAGTAGCTGTGGCACGTGGGCTCAGTAGTTGTGGCACGTGGGCTCAGTAGTTGGGGCTCCTGGCTCTGGAGCACAGGCTCAATGGTTGAGACTTAG